TGCATGATCGCTCCGGCTCGCCTGGTGCGTTCCAGCCTGGGTTTTATTTGCCTCTTACTTGTTGTATTCTTGTTACCGTTCTTCCACTTTGACCCATTTCACGTAGCAGCAGTAGCAAGCATTCCCAGCTCAGGACGATATGCCATTGGCACTTATAGTCTACCACTGAGAGAACCGTCTGAGGGTGGCTGCTTGAATTGCAAGTTTCAAGTGCGGTGGTGCAATGCGAAGATCAATGCAACACTTTATTTTATTACAAGTGGGGCGAAAAGCAGTCATTAACTGATACACAACGGTTCCTGTGGATCACATCACTTATATACTATTTCTCCTGGGCAGTTTTTTCGCAAGTGCTTCCAGTGGCTAAAATTACCAATGGCACACTTGAGGCGTTCGTGCGAATTCATGATTTTTGCATCGTTTGTCTCCTGGGCGACAATGTACACCTCCTCGGTTGCTTTTTGGATCTGGTCGCTTAGGTCACCGAGTGCACTTAGGCAACGATCTTGGCTTTCTGGTGCAGCAGCATCATCAGAAGCGGCATTGACCAGCTGCATTTCCCTCCGATTACGGAACTGATTCACTCGGCTGATTATTCCGGATACCTTGCCGGCCGTCTTGTCGATATCAATCCGAAGCTGCGTTGCTGTTCCTTCCTTGCCCTGTGCATCGGTCAACGCTTCCCTTGTGCGGGTGAGGATGTCAGTGAGCTCATCAATAGCATCGAGACATTTATCCTGAAAATTACAATACTCTCAACTGTGTGTTTCAAGCGTGTGGAAGGAGGGTCCTTGCTTACCTTATTTGCCTCCGGCTTCAAGAACTCAGATTTGCCTTCCGGCACAATCACTCCTCCTACATTTGGCGGCTGCGCTCCAGTGCAAACGGCTAGCAACACTGCGCTTGAGAGAATCAGCGTACAATGCATGTCCTGCAATAACCACAGAGGTTCATGCCATCGTACGGTTTGGTCAAGATTCACGTAGCACTTGATCACCACACCACCCTGGGCCAAACAGAGTTTGACGCAAGGAGGATGCCAGTAGAGTTTGACGTCCTCCTGATTCGCATGCATGGAAGTGCCGCATTTGTCCGGGTTCTTAATTTCGTTCTACAAGCTGGACAAAAGGTAGCCAGGTTGTTAAAAAGCAAAGCGATATTGGAATTCTGATGAGTTTCTTCCGTGTGGCGCTTGCTTCGAATTATGGTATTTATTGGAACCTAGAGGCCATAGATTCAGCGAGCATCTGTTTTGCAGTTTGCAGAAGTATTTGTTGTACTTACATCCATCCCATCAAATAGGCGCAATGTTTTTGCCGGCCAGACAGAAACTGGAACACTTCAGCGGCTTTGAGAGCTGTCAAGGCGCGAAGCATAGCATCGCTGCTATCTCGAACACACCAAACAAAAAATTACTTGTATTTGGTGCAGCCGGATGAATTCGGGACAGTGCAAAGATGTGCTGGATTGCACATGAAATCGTTACAAATCAAACAAGCAACTTACAAAGGAGGGAACTTTTACGATGCATTTGTTCACACACAAACAAATTTATCGCCCACTGAATCTGTGGTCTCTGGATTCCTATAAATTCCGTAAGTCGAAGCAGGCACCACACAGAAATTCATCACAATTCCAGTATCGCTTTACTTTTTAACAGCCTGATCACCTTTTGTACAGCTTGTAAGGCGAAGTTAATAACCCGGACAAATCCAGCATTTCCATGCACGTGAAGCTGGTGGACGCCACACTTTGTTGATGTCCGCCTTGCGTCGAGCTGTGCTT